AGAGTTCTCATTTCAGCAGTGTTGCATTCTATTACATTCAGATGGATTCTCATTTTAGCTTTGTTGCATTCTTTTACATTCAGGAAAGTTCTCATTTCAGCTATATTTCATTCTGTTGCATTTAGCAGGTTGCCTAGAGAGAATCCAGTGGGAGTCAGAGATAAATGTATTACCACATGAGGGCCATTTCTCTAAAAGTGTGACCACTGGTTGATGTCTCATTGTTGGTTTTTAGTTCTTCCATTGGACATTTAGCTTGTATGCTAGACTGGTTTATGTGTTCAGTAGTTATTCAGAGTCGGATGTTTTCAAAGTGATGCCTATGCTGTTGTATCACAGTACCATTTAGACTAACGAAACAGAATGTTTAAAATCAAAAGTAAACACCAAAATACAAGGAGGAACTGCACACACTTCATCTGTTAATCTGTGTTGTAGAGAGCTTACACTCAACAGACATACACAACGGAGTAATTAGTCCATTGTTTGGTAATGTTCACTCAAATATTGATCTGTAGCATTGTCATTGATTGAGGACATTTCTTAAAAATTGAATTTTAAAAAGTCTGAATAATTCGTAAGAAATTTTGACCATTGTGCACAGTAATTCTTCGATTTTACTCATGTCACATTGGCTTTTATCCAATGATGCAAATCTGTGAATGTTCTTTCCTAAACTGCATTGACAGACAGTTGAGATACATCTTGCCTTGTTCATAGTCACTATTTGTAGACTGACCTGAAGGTAGACTGGTCCTTTTTGAAATGAGTACTGTCAGGTAAAATGACTCTTGACAAACCAGAACCCCACATGCTTGTCTAAAACCTAATATATTCATATTTTAACTTGTCAGACAAAATTTCCATTTTAAAAAATCGGACTTATTTCTGCTTTTTTTTTTGGGGAAGCATCTTTGCGCAAATCAGAAACCAGTTTTGTGTCATTGATCATATGTAAGTTCAAAGCTCATTCATTTGGGGTTCTTTGCTGCAGTAGTTACTGAAAATTAGTTAACACTACTGACATTGGTGTTTTTAAAAAGTGTGTACAAGTAGTCAGCTTTCATTCTCAATTTTGTTCCATTCTTACAATTTCCTTTGCCCTATGATTTCAGGTGCGCATTCCTACTCCAATGAACACTAGTGGTGTCCAAGTCCTGTGCATGAAGGGGAAAGCAAAATACAAATCTAGCGAAAATGCCATTGTCTGGAAGTAAGTTCTCAACTAGGAAAGTGTAAACATTAATTAGCAGTTTGTTATTTCGAATTGATGCTGGCTCTGTAATGGTCTGTAACTAGCTTTCTACAATGAACAGTTCCTTGTTCCTTCAAATGAATTTGATATTGTCATAGCACTACCTGCCCTAACAACCACATTTGCAGTCAGAAAAGCTCGTAAAGTCTGATGATTTTTTGAACATCTTAAGGCATGTTCATTAATAATAAGCACAAATTTAAAACAGAGGATTCAAAAGGTAATGCACATCCCAAGCAATTACACTG